TATGAAGCATTTCCCAATCTAGGACTCCCCCCGTTCGGGAGCGCGGGGAAGAATCCGCGGCGCCTTGGGGGGGGGGGGGTTGTGGCTTACACATTGGTGTCCGCGGGTAGGGAAGCAGAAGATAGTTGGCGGTGAGGAAACTGGTAGGTTCTTGGAGGCGTGGTGCCGTGAGTAAAGTGCAAGGATATCTATTTTAATAGTAGAAATGGCAACGAAGAAAACAGTCCACAACCCATTAAGGAGAAAGAAAAAGCCACAACTCTTGCAACATCAGCGAGTGACGGACTATAGGCGTGTGCACTGAACGGTTGGTTGGCGGGGCGATGAACGTATAGTACAACCATGCAAGCTGAGTACCGCAGCCCTGTCAAAGCGCGCGAAAGCACCCGATCCCCCACGGCATACCGACAGCACACCTTCACTTTCCCCGTGACGTTGTAGCGAATGAAGTGCACCAGCTGGTGAGACCCGTCGACGGGCTTGATGCCCAGCTTCTTCTCGAGGGACGTCTCCAGCTTCGTCGAGTCTATGCTCACGAATTTGAGGTTGCGGTGATTGCCCATGAGATCCTTGAAGGCATCCTTCACATCGTCCTGTTTCTCGTTGTGCGGTGGTGTAAATAGAGCAAGATGTGCGACGAGGTAAGCTTCACGACACGTGTGTACCGCTGTTGTCGTCAAGAGAAATGTTTACTGCTGCCAGCATCAAAAGCCGGGAATACACCAAACTGCCTCTTCGCTCCAACCCAATAACCTCGTCGTACGTGGAGCGCTTACACTACCGCGGCCGCTTCGACGTTGCGATCATCCTCGCTTGGAAGGGTTGCCAGAAAAGGCCAAAAAAAAAAGGCAAGGGGGCAGAAAACGCACGCCCCACCTCAAGCGGTCCCGCCTTCATGACCAAAGCACACCGCTCCTTCTTCAGACACTTGCTCTCCAGCTCGCGCGTGGACGTCACGGGGGACGCCCCCGGCGTCGCCATGACCTGCACCCACTTGAGCAGGGAGGCGTGCGTCTCCATGTTGCGGCTCGAGGCCTGGGCCGGCGTCAGCCCGGCGCCCGTGACGAACAGAACCGGCTTCACTTCCTCCTACGCGGACAGCAGTGCGGGCACGTGGTCGCATGTGATCGCGTGAAGATGTAGGTCTATTAGTGGTTTCGGTCAGTAAGAGGTGGTAGTACCATTTAAGAATATTCGAGGCAGGAATATCAGGGATATGACCACGTCGCCGAGACCTCGCCTCCCGGGTTGTCGGTGTCGTGTGTCCTACTACTCTGTACAGCGCCATACCTTTGCGCCAAAATAGAACAGAGAGTAACATCACCCGTCTTCGTGTACGTGTAAGTCATCGCACACCCTGACCTATCGTTAGCGTCACGAACGGCGCTGCTGTACACAGCAGCACAGACCACCGCCGAACGGACGCAAAAAAAAAATAGTCGGCTTCTTCTCACCGAAAGGTCGAACTTCTGGAGGATGCTCTTGCCAGAGGGCAGCGAGCCCGCGCAGTCAACGACACCGAACTTGGCTGAGCCCGTCATGGCCTTGGAGGCCGTGCCGAACCTCTTGTACACTGCGTCGTAGCCCGCGCCCTCCCCGCTGCAGAGAACCACCCACATCCCTTTGCCGAGAAAGACGTCCTTCATCTGGTTGCGGTTGTAGGTTGACAGGAAGTGTATCGGCGGCGCCAGAGCTTCGCGCGGGGGAGGACAAGAAAAAGGTGGGGGAGGAGGAGACCGGTTCCACCGAACGAGGGGACAGGAGATGGGGTGGGGCGAAACAAAGAGGTTGGTTGTTGTATTACACCTTTCGAACGGGAGACTTGTCACGCCTGTGAAGGTCGCCGCGTGTTGTAGCGATAACCCGGTGTCCTTCTCGTCGGAAGAGAGCTGGGCTCCTTTTCGTCGAGGTACGACTCGACCAACAAGGGTACCAAGCACGCACCAGCATTCATAAAAGTCGTCCTACGTACAAATCGCCACCTAGGTGGGCTATCGCCCCGCGGTTGCCTGCTTCGGAGCTTTCGGCAGCGGATGTAGCCGGTAACTTGTACGAAAGGCCAGCAGGACGGCGCCATGTAGGTTCTGCTGGTCACAGATTGGAGGCTGTTACAATATACCGTAGATACCAAAACTACGAGGCCAATCTTTCCGACAGGCGCCGAGAGAGTGCCTGGCCTGTCGGTTACGCAAGCGTTTGGGCTTGGAGAGCCGGCGGTGTGCGAAAATCACGTGTACTCTACGTAATTCAGAAAACTAAAACTGACAGGCCGTGTGCAATCAAAACTGGACAATACGCTCTGTTTGCGAGCAGAGCATTATGTGTATGACCACACGAGACTACCCGTGATCGAAGGATTCACAGCGCTCATGCTAGGGGCAGAGCGGCGGAACGTGCAACGACTGAAATCGAGAGCTATTTCGGTCTCTCTCTCTCCACATCGCCCACTTTGTGACGTTCACATCCACGCAGCGGCCAACTGGTTCAAGGTTGTTTCATACGTCCATGCTGCTGCGCAAGTTCCTTCAACGGCTACAGCAGTACCGCTGATCACCAATGAGCTTGCCGACTTCCGACAACATCAGTTTCTTCCGCTTCGTTGTACTTCACACCTTTTGCTAGAAAAGCTAGCGCGACGGCGACGCCCATGGCTACCACCGCCGGATACCATGGCGCCAGCCTCGACGGTGGTGGCGGCGGTGGCCGTTTCTTCTTGGCCGCCTGTGCCCATGACAGACAGCAGCGCACGAACGGATGCCACAACAACAATCGCCAGGCGCGTGGTGAGTGGGGAGCGCACGGTGGACAGGGCAGGTTCCAACTGCTGTAGCTGCTGCTATCTTGGGGAGTAGATGCATGGCGACGGACACAGACCTTACCCCGCAACAGCGGGTACTCCTATTTATTGCGGACTTCATGTGATTGTTGTATGGTTCCTCATGACGCAGGTGTTGTCTTACACACAAAGTACAACTGCAAGACAACGAGTTGATCGGTCCGACCTGCAAAGCGTTCGCTGTCAGCATCCTCTCTAGAGGTCTCTCTGCAAGGTCTCGCCAGGGGCGATGGGTTGTGGTTCTCTTGGAGAGGCGATCCCACCTGCTCATGCCGACGCATGGCATGACCGGCAGATGTCACACACAACGACTTGAACACAGCAGCGGCGGCCGGGTTGCTGCTGATAGCAGTAGACCCAGGACTACGGCTAGCAGTAGGTCAGACACTCGACCTCGAGAAGTGACTAAAATATAATCTCCGCACAGCTGACAACAGGGTACGTCCTACCTTAGGGTTCGCCATGCTCGACCGTGCTTCCGGCACGTGTAGCTTGCAGCTGTTGTTGGTCGTCTCGCTGTCGGTGTCGGTGTCTCTGGTTCACAAACACGACCGGGAGGCCCGTAGCGGAGAAATTACGATAGATAGGCTGTGTGGACATATCATTCCATCTTTTGTGCCCCAGCCAGCACACAGGATATGTCTCTTCGCTCCACATCCATCATCCCTTCACAAGTTCATGTGCAACAATGGCGGTGTCACCCTTCCACGCGCACCTGAAGTTCGAAACACACCTATTGGTGGAGGTTGACCGATGGCTACCACTCAAGGTGAGACAATGGGTTGGACAGCATCTGTTATGTGGTTCAGAGGTTAGACCAGCAGAGGGGCCTTGGACTATCAGAGGTTCTCCTGTGCATAAGATAGACAGAGATCAAGCGAGGTTATCCAAAACGGAGCGTTTGATTTTAAAAATCCGTTAGCGTCGGACCCTCACAGCAGATGGGAATCGGTTCTTTCGTGAGGGTATAAAATATATGAGGGTGTTTCGTTTAATTACTTGTTTTTGGGTTTGGGGAGTACATATGGTATGTCTGGGTGCTGCGGGCGCGGTAACAACACGTGCAACCCTTCGGCTGCAGCAACTTTGTAGGTCTCATGCGTGATACATATGGGGTACACCCCCTTCGCCGCGTCCATACCCCTTGGAAGGCTCTCCTAGTACTACCGTGTCTCTTCTGAGCGCTGGCTGGCCCAGCCATGTTGTTGACGCAGGTACGTATCGAAAACCCTGGACTCTGTTACGTATGAAGTACATGGGTACCATTTACTTGGTGTACCACACCCCCGACGTACAAGTCAAACGAGACGTTTCCGGAAAGCTCTCGGCAAGGCGGCCCCCACACCGCCGTTTTCGGCACCACCACTCTTTCTGGTGTGGAGCAAGCGAGCGTTGAAAACCGGGCAGATTTTGAATGTACCGGGACAGAGGTTTTAGGAGTTTAGTTACGCGGGCGAAGCTCGCCAAATACACGGTGAAACCCATTCGTCTGCGGGCCACACGCTTTCAAAATGTTGCACCTCACTCGATGAATCAAATGAAGGAAAGGAGACACCAGAGCAGAGGTGTGCCGTCACCGGGGCAGCTAATAAATCACCGTGCAGATATTCTGCCATGCGGGTTGTCAACATACCGACGCGTCGGGATGGATGCTTGATGGCGATTGCTTTGGGTGGGGTGTTCACTCCAAAGAACCTACAGATAGATAGGAGACACGAGAGCGAAAAACACCAACGCGGAGGTGCCAGAGCATCATCATCACGCTACTTGAAGTGTTCTCGCGAGAGGACGGGCGTGTAGATGATATAAAAGCATCCATGGACCTCTGGGTGTGCTGCAGTAGCTTGACATAAATATTCGCGTGCGTGTGCGTGATGCGTGCGTGCGTGCGTGTGCGTGTTTGTGCGATCTCCCTCTCTCTCCTCGCTGTAGCTCTTCTGGCGGGTGCTGCTGCGTGCTCGTCACCGACACTCAGTGTGGATTGACATTGCGAAACTTCGTGCACACAGAGACCAGAGTGGTCTCTTCTGCTGTGTTGGCGTCTGGTATGCGCCAGTTGCAGCGCCCAGGCTCCCGCCTGATGTGTGTCGGTCTCTGAACAGGTTGGTTCGAATGCGGTGCGCGCAGAAGAAGAAAAAAGCGGCGTAATTGCCAAACTTACTCGAAAATAGACAAGACGCCAAGTAGGCGCCAAGTTAAATGGAGACATCTGCTTGGCGGACGCCAAGTTAAATCTGTCCCGGTGGCTTTTTTTGCTGCCGAAAACCGGCACAGGGGGTGTGTGGCATCATTTTCATACGCGCAGCAGCAGAAAGTTCGATGTTTGGTGCTTCGGCACATAGTTCTCTGGCGGAAACAACCCTTTTCTCGCCCTTCTTTCTGAGGGGCACGCAGGAGGCTCTTCAGGGCATGGCCAAAGGCCCCATGCATGCGTCGCACGTGTGCTCGACATCGACAAAGTCGAAGTCTCCCCGACTGGCTCTATTCCCGGGAAGGTAGTCCGAATCGTAAAGGCCATGGGGGAAGTACATACCCAACACAAAACTACCTAAGTACTGGTTCGAAAAATTCATGTACAGTACTTCGAAAGCATACTAATTTGGAGAGGTCGGCCGGTGGCGGCCTCTCTTGCGCAAATATTTGCGTACATGTGCCGGTCAGATCGTTTTTGTGAGCGTGTTAAAGGCGTCCGCGATCAGATTTTACTTTTATCGACTTCTTGGGGCGAGGAACAGCAGGGAAATGCAGACACTGAACGAACGGGCATGGCTCTCTTATCTCTCTCAATAATCAACTCTTGCCCAACTGACCCAAAATTTCAACCATCAACCTCAACCTTGTTAAGATCCTCAGACCCTACTCTCAACCTCTTAAACTTTGCATGCCTTCACTTGGCTACAGACGAAATACTTTTAGCCCAGCCCTACCCACAAAGGACCACACCTTCGTGAAAAAACACGAAAAACAAGTGGCCACGGTCCAGTTGCTGTAGAGATCATGAGGATGGTGGAGAAGTCGGGAGGATGGAAGCAGAAACTGTGGAAGGGAGACAGGTTGGAGCTGCTGCTGTTTGGGATTCCAAGGGACATGACGAGGATAGAGTTCAAGAACTGTTGTGACAGGGAGGGACTGCATTGCCTAGCAAGGGGAGAAGTAGGCAGAGAGCATGAACAGTTCCGGGTGAAATTAACCAAGGGAGACAGCCAAGAGTGCTTGAGGGTTGACATCGAGAAGCTGTCGAACTACGTAAGGAAGTTTGGATGGAGGGTTTGCGTCGCGAACATGATAGAAACAGAGAACGTAAGGAGACAAGAGGCGAGGGCGATGGAGGCGAAGAAGGGACCGGGCGGGGGAAGCGAGCAGGCAAATCAGAAGAACGCCGAGAAGAAGCGGAAGGCGAACGAGAGAGTGCGCAAAATCTCCAATAGGGAAAAGCACAAGCTGAGAGTGGGGTCGTGGAACGTGTGCGGGTTCGCAAGGAGTGAGCGCAAGCGGCTGGAAATAGTGGACCAAGTAGAACAAAGCGATCTCGATGTAGTGGGGATCCAAGAGACGTGGGAACTGAAGGATGGGGACGTGGGAAGCAAACTAGGGAAATACCGGTGGGCAGGAAAGGCAAGAAAGGGCTTAGACCCGAAGAAAAGGGGGGAGGGAGGAGTCGGATTCCTGGTCAAGGAACCCTTGTTTAACGTGGTGGAAGTAGTGGTGAAAACGGAGTTCGAGGAAAGCCTGTGGCTTAAGATACCTGGGGAGCGGGGTGAGAAAGATTTGTTTCTAGGGAACGTATACGTCCCACCGCCGTCGAAGAAAGTCGCAAGCAAGGCGCAGGAGAACTTCGGACAAATTGGGGAAGATGTCTAGAGGTTCAGTAGGAAGGGAGATGTTGTCATGGTGGGCGATTTCAACTCCAGAGTAGGGAAAGCTTCTAGTAGAGGACAGGTGATCGGGCAGCACGGAGAAGACAAAGTGAATGACAACGGAATGAGGATGCTTGAATTCTTAGGAAGTAACGAGCTGATGGTGTTGAACGGTAGGAGGGAATGCGATAAGCCGGCGTTCACCAGGCAAAGGGCAGTTTGCAATGAATACTCGATCCTCGACTACATCCTGGTAGATAGGGGGAGCACACAGATCCCAGAGCTGCACGTAAGTGCGATAGATATAGGTTCGACCGATCATTTCCTCATATGGGCAAACATCGACCGATCTAGAAAGACTGAGAGTAAGAAACAGAGGAAAGTGTTCCGGTGGAAAGTAGAGCGTTTGGGAGACGAGGGGACACGGGATGAATTCCAGAAAGGACTGGTTGGTAGTGTAGAACCCTTCAGGAAACTGCTGAGAAGCGTCGAAGACGGATATGTAGACGTACAAGCAGTAGGGGACAGGGTGATTGAAGGATGGAAGTCCATAGTGAACATAACGGCAGAGAGAGTAGTGGGAAAGAAGGTGGTACGATGTGGGGCATCGGTTAAGTGGTGGGATGACGAGCTGAAAGAAGAAACAGGGGAACGTAGAGAAGTCTTCAAGCAGTACCTGAGTGAGGGGTCTGAGGAGAGTTGGGAAAAGTACAGGGCCAAGAGGAAACAGGTGAAGGGACTAGTGAAAAAGAAGAAAAAGTGCATTTGGGACGAAGTAGTGCAGAAGGCCAACGGAGGCCTGGAGGGGAACGCCAAGCAGATGTGGGAAGGGATTAGTGGGATGGTAAAAAAGACCGCGCAAGGGGGGATACAGGGGTAGCAACTTTGCGAGGTGTGAACGGTGGACTAGTCAGCAGTGGGAAGGGAAAAAGGGAAGTTCTAGCAGGACACTACAAGAGGGACTTGGAGTGTCTTCGGAGAATGAAGCTTTTGACCAAGTGTTTAAGAAGGAGGTGGACGCATGGGCCCAGACAGAAGAAGACACATCGAAGGCAGACGTGGGGAACGTAGAACTAGAAAAGGAGTTCACTGAGGACGAGGTTGAGGCGTGTGTGCACAAGTTGCAGTGCCACAAAGCAGCAGGGGCGGATGGGATAGTCAACGAGCTCATGAAGTTTGGGGGGAAGGGGATTATCCAATTGATGGTACTACTGTACAACTGGGTGTGGAAAAACGAGTATACGCCAAGTAGATGGAGGGAAGGAGTGGTTGTGAACTTGTTTAAGAAAGGAGACAAGACTGACCCAGGAAACTACAGGGGTATCACACTGTTGAACACAGTAGGAAAAGTGTTTGTTAAGTTGCTGAACGATAGGATAGTGGGAGTATTGGAGAAGGAACGTAGCATTAGTGAGGGCCAGGCAGGTTTCCGGCAGAAGAGGGGGCGCGTAGACCACGCATTCACGGTAGGGAGAATCATCCAAGGTAGAAAGAGGCGGGAAAGCCGACGTACTGCTTCTTCCTGGACGTGAAAAAGGCATACGATACCGTATGGAGAAATGGGCTGTGGAAACAATTGTCCAAGTACGGGATCAAGGGGAAAATGT